AAAGGTTTATCCTCCACTGTCTTTTATGTCAGAGTTTTTAACTAAAAATATATTATATAAAGAAATGACAAAGGGTTTTGGTAAAACCTTGAAAACAGCATGCTGCTGTCATGTTATGTCACAAAATCTCACCAGAGCTCTTTGTGCTCATTAAATTCTTGTWTCTGTACAGAGWTGCAGACACTTTGTGATGGCGAAGSWTGATCAGACGTGGTAGTTGTCTTCATTTGGACTGACTTCAAACTTAAATCAACTGTAGATAGATTTCCACAGAGTGCTTTCAGAAAGTAGCGTTAAAATCTGACCAGTGGTTCACGAGGTATTTTGCTAACATAGTTGAGTCTATGTTGTAAAGCTGAAGTTTTAAGCAGACCAGTTTGCTCGTATATGACTCTCAGMTACTACTGCTCCAAATTTAGGTTTAACATCRGCATAATTAACTAATATAGCTATTTTGTGTTAGTAAAAACGGATTGGCTCCGGCAGCCATCTATTGAGTTACTCAAAAAGTTATTCAAGTGTATAGATGCACAGCCAATTGTTACTTTTTGTATTTATTTAAAAAAATGCGTCCAGTGTGTCTTGAAAAATTTTGCCACACACACACACACACACTTGTTATTGTTAGTTTATCATTTGTCCATCATTAATCTTATCTTGTGTCTAATTGTTCATTTACTGTATTTTTCAACCAAGTCATGCTTCTTTACCTGCAGCAGTCAGAACTCGGAGCACCAACCGTGAGACGCWCCGTCCTCTCAGCGTCCAATCAGCTGCGGCTCCGCGCAGCCGCGCTCCTGTCATTGGGCGGAGGTGGTTTAGGACAACGCAGCGGTCCTGTTGGCATATCGTAAACTCGCGCTCCTCTCCGCACGCACAGTGGAACAAGTCGCGCCGGAACCGAGCGGATCGGAAGCGAGAGAAACACCAGAGACTTTATGAGTTTAGTTGGTACGATTGAAAAAACAAAAAAAGAGAGACAAGCATCAGAAGTCTCAGCACTCCTCACTCTGGCACCGATCAAAGGTCTTTTTTTTCCCCATCTCCTGAGTGGATTACGCACAGCGGGGTTTTCGGGACACAGAGAAAAAAGTTCTGAAACTGTCCTTTTACGCACAGGAATGCGTAAAGAAGTCTWTTACACACTTTGTTGACTTTAACTTGTCACGTTTAGCTCATGGAGTAACCTGGCACTTTTTTAATTGGAAGAAAATCCTGAATYAGAGTAAAATAATTTATGGATTAGAGCAAAAGTGAACTTCAGCACCAGAGGAGAGACATCTACCTGAAGATTTATGCCTTGGGGGATGGCAGCGGCCACCTCAGGTCCATACCTCGCCAGCAGCCGGATCCTGTCCGCTCAGTTCGTTCACTCTGACCGGAGGGGAGCTGCTGGCATGCAGYCGGGTGGCGCCGCCGTCACCGCGGTGTCAGGGGGTTACAGGGGCGACCCTCCCATTAAGATGGTGCAGAGCGACTTCATGCACTCAGCCATGGTGGCGAGCAACGGCGGACACATGCTGAGCCACCAGTGGGTGACGTCGCTGCCTCACGCTGCGGCCGCGGCTGCTGCGGCCGCGGCGGCTGCAGCAGAAGCCGGGTCCCCGTGGCCCCCCAGCGGCTCCCAGCCGCAGGAGGTGAAAAGAAACACGGGCAGGGAGGACCTCCACTCCGGTTCAGCTCTTCACCACAGGTCCCCACATCTGGGAGCGCATCAGACGCACGCAGGAAGTTGGGGAGGCACCTCGGCGGCGCACATCAGCATCACTGAGGGAGGGCAGCAGCAGCAACAGCAGCAGCAACAGCAGCAGCAGCAGCAATCCCTGGTTTATTCCCAAACTGGAGGATTTACAGTGAACGGCATGTTGAGCTCACACACCGGACAGAGCCTCATGCACTCTGGGCTGGTGCGCGGGGAGTCCCCTGAGCTGGACCACCATCATCATCACCACCAACACCACAGTCACCACGCGCACCATCACCAGCATCACGGAGTGGGCCACGACTCTCAGTCAGACGAGGACACCCCCACGTCTGATGACCTGGAGCATTTCGCCAAACAGTTCAAACAGCGGCGGATCAAGCTCGGGTTTACGCAGGCCGACGTGGGTTTGGCCCTGGGGACCCTGTACGGCAACGTCTTCTCCCAGACCACCATCTGCCGGTTCGAGGCTCTGCAGCTGAGCTTCAAGAACATGTGCAAGCTGAAACCTCTGCTCAACAAATGGCTGGAGGAGGCCGACTCCACCACCGGGAGCCCGACCAGCATCGATAAGATAGCCACGCAGGGGAGGAAGAGGAAGAAGCGCACGTCCATCGARGTGAGCGTGAAGGGCGCACTGGAGAGCCACTTCCTCAAGTGTCCCAAACCGTCCGCGCAGGAGATCAACTCCCTGGCGGACACCCTGCAGCTGGAGAAGGAGGTGGTCCGGGTCTGGTTCTGTAACCGCAGACAGAAGGAGAAGCGCATGACGCCGCCAGGGCTGCCGCGCACCCCGGAGGACGCGTACTCACAGGTGGGAAGCATGGGACCGGACACACCRTCCCCCTCCATAGAGTGTAAGAGGATGTACAACGACACGTGAAAACAGAACAAATAATGGTGGCAAGAAAAAAACTTTTTTCTAATGTTTTTCTGACTGATGAGAATCCCTGGTGTTATTTTTATACGATCCATCCATTGATGAATGGGACAATCTGGGACACTTTTGCACCTTTAGGCATCTTTGTGTGTTTATCTTGAGTATAACACATCCTCTGGAAAAGTCTGAGTCAGCTGATGTCTAAAAAAAAAGGAAAATCTTAYAAGACAATGTTTGTTCATTAAAAATTCACATATTCTGAGACAAAAATTAAATATTTTAGAAGCTATACGCCCAGATTTTCAGCAAAAGTTTTCTTRTCTCTGGGCTAGAAATAATGGTTCCTCTGTAATGCTGCAGAATTTAATATTTCTTCTGTCTGTTTTTCATCCTTAGCAATAATTTATGCATTCCCCTTCCAAAGTGTTCCTCATATTTTGTGTTGTGTATCAGTGGACTCATGTTGTAACACAAATAATGGTTAAGAAGYGATTTACAAATATTCCAACATTGTATTTCCCTCCTTTAAAAAAATWATCAGCACACTTTTCCTCAAGTTCATGTAAAAGTCTGTTTTTATTCTTGTGTAACAAGTTATTTATTATTATTTTTCTCTGTTTTTTTCATGGAAAGGGATTTATTTAATAAAATTGACACAAAATGATGTTGAGATGATCATTTTTTTAGTTCAGACTTTTTCTGTAATTAAAATTTTAATCAACATATCTAATAAATCTTTGAAATATGAATTTTCCAAAAAAGTTTTTAAGTGTTTTACTCAGAATATAGAGATCTGAATGTCCAACTTAAAAAAAATAAAGTTCATTCTAAACTTTTACTATGTGCAATGGACACAAATAAACTCTGGTCAGTGTTTAAAGAAAACAAACTAGTTTTGCAGCTCATTTCAAACACATGTTTTACATCCAGGCCAAAAATACCATAAAAAGAACAAATGTGTCAAACGGAACGCAGGCTTTCTGGTGGTTGTTAACAGGTTAAATGTACAAAAGAAAAAAGAAAATCCCCAATGTTTCACTGACCCCAACCCAGACTGAYGAGTCTGAGAGCCTCATCGAGTGGTTCATGTGAGATCTGCTGCACTTCAGACCAGCCCGAGCGGCAGGGCGATGGGCTGCAGCTCGGTGCACCACAGCCAGCCAAGGTCAGCTGTCCCAGATGGTGGTTCACCTCCGCAGAGGTTGCCAAGTTGACAGCGAGATGGAGTGACACAAGGCAGCAGCAACGGTTTTCTTGCCACAGATGATGATCACGATGATGGGTTTTGGGAGACAGGGAGTGAAAATACCACCGTGATGGAGTTCGGATAAACAGTCTCTTCATGGTTTTGTGCATAAACACAAGTATCTCCTGAAATGTTGCTGCGTGGATGCAAAAAGGAAAGTCCTTGGAAAACGTCTCAATAGTTGCAGTGAAACTGAGGGAGGTCAAAGGTCAGCTGACAAAACACAGGAGTGAACACAAACCAAACAGGTGAGATATTATTATAAATGTTCAACTTTTTATTTTGACACAAAGAAAAGAACTGACACACATTCCCTTAAACTCACACACTCTGTAGTTGTGAAACATGAGGCACAAAGTGGGGGTGTTTAGACAGTTTCAAAGTCCCACTAATGATTGGTTTTTGTCATGTTTTCACTATAATTGTGACAAATAATAAAAAAGGTTTCAGTTATTGATAAAGATAAAATAGTTTAAAATCGTTTTGGACAGTTTGTGTTGTCTTTATTTGTTTGATTATTATCGCAAAGTTTGTTCATTAAAACCAATAACTCCACAAGCAAAGCCACCTTCTAAAGGGGAGGTTAGGAGGCCCCCCAAATCTTGTTTTTACTTGAAAAAATAGTTCAATACCAACACCTTCCTAAAATAATTACCTAAATCCTTTTTTCTTTCCAAGGGTTTCAGGAAACACCAAAAACAGAACCAAAAATGCACCATAAGACTTTTTTGAAATTCCAAAACTGAAAAGAAAAAAGAAAAAAAAGTTTTGGGCATTATTTTAGGAAGGTGACAATATTTTCCTTATTTGGAATAAGCTACAAACCCACATCACTGCAAACTGYTTTAGTTTGTTAAGGCCTGTGTTGATGCTTCCATTTTGTTTTCCAGTTTTAAAGTCACCACTTTAAATAAACAACTTTACTTTGTGTCATTTTGAGTCGTATGGTAAATATTCTCATTGCTTTGAAGACAAAAGCACCGTTGCTCTTTTATGTAATTATTCTGTATTTTCTTCATTTTGAGATTTATGCTGTAAACACTCTGTGGAAGTCAAACAGTTTGCATTTTTGTCTCTGATTTTAAATAAAAAAACTCTGTATTTGTCATTTATTGTGTTCAGTGTAATCTTCATGCTTTAAAATAAAATATTTGTGCAGTTGCAGTGTTTATTATTTGGACTGCTGATATTTTCATCTTGACTTTTTCTCTTTCATTTCCATGACTCTTTGCTTTAGTTCTTGAAAAAATATTTTTTTACAGTTCAGATGCACTTATTATTAGTGCATTAGTGGCTATTTAAAWTATTAGCTTAAAGTGTGACAAAACTGACTTTCTCATTATTTCAGGTCTGTAGTTTTTCTGTGCCTCAGATTTTAGGTATTATATTTTAGTGTTATTTTGATTTCATGTTTTTGGGCCTGGTTTGCAGTGTTTTTGTTGTTTTCTTGTGTAGTGTTTATATTTTTCTATTTCCCCCTATATTCTTTCCAGAATATTTTATTTTTCAATAAACAAGTTCCATCTTTCTCTGACTCTTGTTCATTAACTCTTTTGAATGAAACATTTTCATAGCTCTACCTTTTCCTTTTAAACTTTTAATGAATACTTTCCAACACACGGAGTCAAAACAATGAAAAGACTTCACAGAAAACTGTTGACCGGTGTAGCCACTGCTCGCTGTGATCATATGAGCAGCTCTTAACGTTTCTGGATCCCCCCTCTGAGCCTGCAGGATGAAAATGGAGGTGTAATATATGCTTGCAGGATTGCAGTGTGATCCCTTCAAAGCTTAGTGATGCAAAGATGGGAGATAAGGCTGGAATTGGGGGATAAAAAGACATTTAAAGGGGTTTTGTCGTCACATGGCGCTGGAAGTCTTCACTGAATATCAATGCAGGGATGTGAAGGAACAAGCGGATGACGCTATTACACCAAAACTCCTCAAATTAAATAATAACGATAATAAACTACATAATTTGTGTCAGGAAACTTCGTGTGTTTGTGCACATTTTACTCAAATGCAACATCGTTCATCAATGGATTATTGTTTCCTGCATTTCTGAGCTGTGGAATGATTGCAGCTCCACGCCGAGGATGTTATTACCTCCTTCCAGTTGTAACTACTAATATAATTGCTCATAATTGCTCCTAAAGCCCTGTTCAGAGGTACTTATCATGAAGCAATTACTACAAGATTAATCCCTGCTTTRATGCTTGTTGTTTGTGTCTCACAGTTTAGGACACAGCTGACGCACAGTCCTGCAGCAAATCATTTCACARCAGCAAAAAATAAAAATCTACAACTGTTTCCACTGCAGTTTGAACATTATCCTTTCCCCCCTCTGCTCTGTGTTAATTATTCTTACAGCAGAGAGATTGGTTAACCACTAACACTGATTAACACACTGTGAAAGCCATGATTCTTACCTGGAATCCAAAGCCGTGGGACGCATGAATAAAATGCTAGTTTTTAAGTGTTTTCYTTCTAAATTTGGTTGAACACAACTCACCTCTCATTTGAATATTCTGATTTACAGTAGAACATGTTTCACTGTGCCTGTGTTTGCCTTTTTCCCCMCTTTGGAAGGGTGGGGTGTGATTGATGGAGTAGCTTTAGCAAAGTCTCTCAGTCAGGAAGGAATTAAAGCAAACATCTGTGGAACAACGGACAGAGAAATGAATTGTCTTCCCAGCAAGCTTGTTGTGTGGCTGCCTCGGAACGTGACAAGCATGCATGTGCCAGACCGCTGGAGTGGAACTGGTTTGATGGGCATGTTCAGCACATGGGCACGATGCCAATTTAGACAAGCATTTAAAAGAATACCATCCTGCATGCTAAGTGTGTGAATGTARCTGTGTCTGTGTGAATGTGAAAAATATCTGACGCTGGGAAAAAAAAGTTATGTTTGTCACATCTGCCAGAGCTACAGAAGTAATACTCATTTCTTTTTAATTTTATTTTTAAAGACTAAATATGTATATGTAAAGTTGCTGGAATTATTACTAATAATATACCACTGTTTTTAAAATGTACTTTTAGTTTGAACACATTTAAATTAAAACCTTGAAAATAGATGTTTTTTTATTCCTCCAATCAAAAATCATAGGGAGGACAATGCTGCCATCTTCTAGACAAAATCAGCAATGCAGGTTGGATTTTATTATTTTTTAATAATAATAATGATAATTACGTAATTAT